GTGAGTGCTGCAGGTTGCCTTATAGATATGATTTTGTGAGAAAGGGAGAGGGAAGGGGAGAGGGATAGCGAGAGAGAGAGAGAAGGATAGCGAGAGAGAGAGAGAGGGATAGCGAGAGAGAGAGAGAGAGGGATAGCGAGAGAGAGAGAGAGGGATAGCGAGAGAGAGAGAGAGAGAGAGGGATAGCGAGAGAGAGAGAGAGAGGGATAGCGAGAGAGAGAGAGAGAGGGATAGCGAGAGAGAGAGAGAGAGGGAGAGCGAGAGAGAGAGAGAGAGGGGATAGCGAGAGAGAGAGAGAGAGAGAGAGAGGGATAGCGAGAGAGAGAGAGAGAGGGATGCGAGAGAGAGAGGAGAGGGATAGCGAGAGAGAGAGAGGAGAGAGGGATAGCGAAGAGAGAGAGAGAGAGGGATAGCGAGAGAGAGAGAGAGAGGGATAGCGAGAGAGAGAGAGGGGATAGCGAGAGAGAGGGGATAGCCGAAGAGAGGGTAGCGAGAGAGAGAGAGAGAGAGAGAGAGGGATAGCGAGAGAGAGAGAGAGGGGATAGCGAGAGAGAGAGAGAGAGGGGATAGCGAGAGGAGAGAGAGAGAGGGATAGCGAGAGAGGGAGAGAGAGGGATAGCGAGAGAGGGAGAGAGATGGATAGCGAGAGGAGGGAGATAGAGGGATAGTGAGAGAGGGATAGCGAGAGAGAGAGGGATAGCGGAGAGAGAGGGGATAGCGAGAGAGAGTGAAAGAGAGAGAGAGGGATAGCGAGAGAGAGAGGGATAGCGAGAGAGAGAGAGAGGAGAGAGGAGAGAAGAGAGAGAGAGAGAGAGAGAGAGAGAGAGAGAGAGGGATAGCGAGAGAGGGATAGCGAGAGAGAGAGAGAGAGAGAGGAGAGAGAGGAGAGAGAGAGAGAGAGAGAGAGAGAGAGAGAGAGAGAGAGAGAGAGAGAGAGGGATAGCGAGGAGAGAGAGAGAGAGAGAGAGAGAGAGAGGAGAGAGAGAGAGAGAGAGAGAGAGAGAGAGAGAGAGAGAGAGAGGGTTAGAGAGAGGAGAGAAGAGGGGATAGGGATAGCGAGAGAGAGAAGAGATGAGAGAGAGGGATAGCGAGAGAGAGAGAGAGAGAGAGAGAGAGAGAGAGAGAGAGAGGGATAGCGAGAGAGAGAGAGAGAGAGAGAGAGATTGATTTGATTTGATAACATTTATTTACAGAACAGTGTACATGCCCTGCAAAAAGCCAGGGTAAGATACCAAAGCATCTATCCAAACTGGCTGTGCTGCTATTTGTGTAGAGGGCCATTGGTCAAACAGTGTTACATACATGCCTGAAGGGCTGTTCTATTATCACAATATTAAAATATCATCTGACTGGTAAAAAACCTTTTTACATCACTAATCATGTCAAAGACAAGACCCAGTAATACATTTCAAGTGATTAACTGGAGACATTGATTACTTGGCCATTTCCAAGGCCCACTACAGGGTGATTCTGTTGTTGATTTAGGAGGAACGAGAACATCCTTTCCTGAAGTTGAGATTGTTGAGCCATTTGTTGCTGCATCATGAACATCATCTGCTCCATCTGTCGAAGTAGCATTTGCAGTAGTTCTTTGATTTCTCCGTTGGACTCTTGTTTGTCCTGCTGCAGAGAGGGCTGAGCTGCAACTGGTGCTGAAGCTGGTGCTGAAGCTGGTGCTGAAACTGGTGCTGCAGGTGGTGCTAGAGTTGGAGCTGCAGCTGGTGTGAAGGTGGTGCAGAGACTGATGCAGCATAAGGTGCTGGGGCTGGTGCTGCAGCTGGTGCTGGTGCTTGAGCTGACCGAGCTTGAGCTCCTGCTTGTGCTGGTACTGTGGCCTGCGCCTTGGCTTCCGTTGCAGGGGCCACCACTGCTGACCTCTGCAGGTGTGGGAATTCCCTCACATCATCGACGCGCGGGGGCTGGCTGGGACTTTTGTGGGGGGGAGGGCTGCCTGTTCTTTTTACTATTTGTTTTTCTGTCCTTTGGATAGTAAGGGCATAATGGAGAATTTGCATTATGCTCTTGTCGGCAGTTCACGCATTTCCGAGGGACATTTTCTCCTTCGGAAATCTTTTCTGCGCATTCAGAACTTCCGTGTGGAAGAGCACAGTAACGGCATCGCGGTGCGTCTCGCGGACAAGCACGCGTCCCGTGGGCCCCACTTTGAGCAATTGGAGCAAAAAGGGGTCAGGGATTTGAAGACGGCACACCTAAAGGGTGCCATGCCCTCGACCATTTTGATGCTTTTGGGGATTACCTCCCCTCATAAGTTATAATGACTCTCTGGGTCATCATTCCATTTGTCTTCATGCGTCTCGCATGAATGATCCGTTCGTTGTAGGTTGTCATTTCTTGTGTTTCGATTTCCCTTGGGACATCGAACACAATGATGTTCGTTGCATTTTCCCTTGCTGAACACTTTGGCTTTTACTAGTACTTCGCCGCATGCACCAATAGATGTTATTTGATCAAGGATTTCTTCGTTCTTGCATCTGACAAATACGTTGTTTCTTCCAATTTTAAGTTCAATGGATCCGTATGTTTTATTATAAGGGTCCATTTTTAGGGCCTTAGAGACCCAGCGATATTTGTCACCGTGTGTGGCGCAATTTTGAATCGTTCTTAAAATGAGCGCATAAGTGTCCTGGAGGTGTTACCTCCACCGAAGCAGATAGCTGCCTCTTTGCTTTTTTTTCATTCGTTCGGGGGCCCCACCAATGTCTTCCTCACTGAGAGCATTGTACCTTCCCCTCGGTTCCATCGTCGCGTCTGCGGTCCGCGGCCATTTCCCCCGACCGCGAAGGGGCCAACCTGAGTGCCTGTCCTTGAAAATAAACAGTCACGCACACGGGTCACTCACGGTGCCACGCAGCACATCTCGGAGTGTGCGTGGGAGATTTCGCTTTAGTTTAAATGTTAGTTCTTTGTATCACTTTAAAACTTGTTTTAATGTGAACATTGTCACACACTGGAACCACTATACGGTTGACAGGTCTGTGAAATTCCTGCTTTTCAAGTATCACAGACCCTTTAAGGACATGTCACAAGGTCACGAGAGGACACTATACACGTCCTTACACTGTGGTGTCGTGACGTTAACTGGAGGAGAGAGAGAGAGAGAGAGAGAGGAGAGAGAGAGAGAGAGAGAGAGAGAGAGAGAGAGAGAGAGAGAGAGAGAGAGAGAGAGAGAGAGGGATAGCGAGAGAGAGAGAGAGAGAGGGATAGCGAGAGAGAGAGAGAGGGATAGCGAGAGAGAGAGAGAGAGGGATAGCGAGAGAGAGAGAGAGAGAGGGATAGCGAGAGAGAGAGAGAGAGAGGGATAGCGAGAGAGAGAGAGAGAGAGAGAGGGATAGCGAGAGAGAGAGAGAGAGAGGGATAGCGAGAGAGAGAGAGAGAGAGGGATAGCGAGAGAGAGAGAGAGAGAGGGATAGCGAGAGAGAGAGAGAGAGAGGGATAGCGAGAGAGAGAGAGAGAGAGGGATAGTGAGAGAGAGAGAGAGAGAGAGAGAGAGAGAGAGAGAGAGAGGGATAGCGAGAGAGAGAGAGAGAGAGAGAGGGATAGCGAGAGAGAGAGAGAGAGAGAGGGATAGCGAGAGAGAGAGAGAGAGAGAGAGAGGGATAGCGAGAGAGAGAGAGAGAGGGATAGCGAGAGAGAGAGAGAGAGAGGGATAGCAAGAGAGAGAGAGAGAGGGAGAGCGAGAGAGAGAGAGAGAGGGATAGCGAGAGAGAGAGAGAGAGGGATAGCGAGAGAGGGAGAGAGAGGGATAGCGAGAGAGGGAGAGAGAGGGATAGCGAGAGAGGGATAGCGAGAGAGAGAGGGATAGTGAGAGAGAGAGGGATAGCGAGAGAGAGTGAAAGAGAGAGAGAGGGATAGCGAGAGAGAGAGGGATAGCGAGAGAGAGAGAGAGAGAGAGAGAGAGAGAGAGAGAGAGAGAGAGAGAGAGAGAGAGAGAGAGAGAGAGAGAGAGGGGGATAGAGAGAGAGAGAGAGAGGGATAGTGAGAGAGAGAGAGAGAGAGAGAGAGAGGGGATAGCGAGAGAGAGAGAGAGAGAGGGATAGCGAGAGAGAGAGAGAGAGAGAGAGAGAGAGAGAGAGGGATAGCGAGAGAGAGAGAGAGAGAGAGGGATAGCGAGAGAGAGAGAGAGAGAGAGAGGGATAGCGAGAGAGAGAGAGAGAGAGGGATAGCGAGAGAGAGAGAGAGAGAGAGGATAGCGAGAGAGAGAGAGAGAGAGAGAGAGGGATAGCGAGAGAGAGAGAGAGAGAGAGGGATAGCGAGAGAGAGAGAGAGAGAGGGATAGCGAGAGAGAGAGAGAGAGAGAGAGGGATAGCGAGAGAGAGAGAGAGAGAGGGATAGCGAGAGAGAGAGAGGGATAGCGAGAGAGAGAGAGAGAGAGAGAGAGAGAGAGAGGGATAGCGAGAGAGAGAGAGAGAGAGAGGGGATAGCGAGAGAGAGAGAGAGAGAGAGAGAGAGAGGATAGCGAGAGAGAGAGAGAGAGAGAGAGAGAGAGAGGGATAGCGAGAGGGATAGCGAGAGAGAGAGAGAGAGAGAGAGGGATAGCGAGAGAGAGAGAGAGAGAGAGAGAGAGAGAGAGAGAGAGAGGATAGCGAGAGAGAGAGAGAGAGAGAGAGAGAGAGAGAGAGAGGGATAGCGAGAGAGAGAGAGAGAGGGATAGCGAGAGAGAGAAAGAGAGAGAGGGATAGTGAGAGAGAGAGGGATAGCGAGAGAGAGAGGGATAGCGAGAGAGAGAGAGAGAGAGAGAGAGAGAGAGAGAGAGAGGAGAGGGATAGCGAGAGAGAGAGAGAGAGAGAGAGGGATAGCGAGAGAGAGAGAGAGAGAGAGAGAGAGAGAGAGAGAGAGAGAGAGAGAGGGATAGCGAGAGAGAGAGAGAGAGAGAGAGAGAGAGAGAGAGAGAGAGAGAGAGAGAGAGAGAGAGGGATAGCGAGAGAGAGAGAGAGAGAGAGGGATAGCGAGAGAGAGTGAGAGAGAGGGATAGCGAGAGA